GGCGGGTAATTGGGGCCGAGCTCGAGGACCGCCGCCGGCCCGGCTCCGGCCACGGAGGCTGCAGCCTCGACCCGGCCTTCAGACAAAGGCCAACGCGAAGAGGCGCGTGGGGACGTGGGGCGCGCGCGCGGGCGCGTGGCCTCGCCGGCCTGCGAACAGAGGACAGGCCTGTAGACCGCGAGCCTACGTGAGCTGGGGTCAGGAATAACTGGGGAGTAGCCCCGGGAAGGAAGAGGTTAACCGCCACAACACCCTCCCGGGCAGGCCAGACCCGGGGTTCTCCCCCGGCCCCTGGCCGCCTCCAGGGGTTCGAGGGGCCTCGGTAGAGAGCCAGCCCTGAAGCTTGATGCCCTCGGACTGGGCCTCGGGAGTGGTCAGCTCTGCCGGGAGGGACTGCTGTGCTCCTAATGGAGTGGAGACCCCCCATGTGGAGACGCCTCTGCCCCGGCCACAGGGCGAGCTGGTCTACTCGAAGCTGGACCCCAGACCTTGCCCAGAAAAGCCAGGGGATACCGGGGCAGCGCAGGCAGGAGAGGAAGGTGGTTTCTCCAGAAGCTTCCCTCTTGCCAGGGAAGAACTCACACCCCACCCGCCCCACCCCCCCCAGCTAAGTCCAGGCGGAGGGGGGAGGAGGAGGGGCCGGCCCAGCCCCCCCCAGTCCCTCCAGGGCCTGGACTCCCCAGAATTGCCTGCCTTGATGCCCTGGCTGCCCACTCACAGGCCTTCTCACACGATTTTACCTGGACCTTAGGGCCTGCCAGGTCCGCTTCTTTGGAGGTGGACATCATGGCATCACCAGACACACCTACACCACCCTGGCACCAGTGTTGGGGTCGAACTGAATTGTCCTTGGGGTCATTGTGGAAAGCATGGACTGTTGCCGCTACCGAAAGAAAGTGGTGCATCCCAAAGAATCTACACTGAGTAAAGCAAACTGAGTGCGCACAGGGGTTGGAGGCATACCACTAAGGCTCTGGATGGCTAAGCACTCCAACTCCCAAAGAGAACGATGGAAAGGGGATAGAGAGCTGGGGGCTGGCATCACACTTACTATTGCTCATGGGGTGGGGAGGGGAATCCTGTGTCTGCCCACTGCCTCCTGCTGACCTTTGGAAAGAAAATGCAGTTTTCTCCTCTTTGTATCCCTAAGGGCTGCAGGTATCCCAGAGAGACAAGAGTGGAGAATCTCACATAGGCTGCCTTCTGCATTTTTGGAAGTATGATCTGAGTGGATAGCTCTAGAATTTTAGGCGGGTTTGGGTTTAACACAAGGCATTTGCATATACCCAGCCAAACTAGCTACATAGAATAGGGTAAAAACCTCTTAGGAGTTTAACGGGTGTTCTACTTAGGGTATCAACAGCCACAAACAACTCTCACCAAGAGGGAAGTCTATGTATAGTTATAGTCGTTAACAGATGGATTTTTAAATGCATGTTTAACGTGAAAATAATTAAATAGATTTCTCTCATCAAGTAAAGCCATGTTTATTTCTATAAAGGGGACTATGGTGAATTGACTTCAGGATTCACTATACTTGATTAAATTATGGATCAGTTCCTCTCGGGTTCTACCAGGCTGGTCATTTCCTTCCTGTGCCAGTATCTTTGATTGACCTGTGTCCTTAGATGCGTCGTTTGTGGTGGAGAAGTCCCAACACCCAGCCACTTCCTGTGTGAACCACAGAAGCAAACTTGAGGGAAGCGTGGCGACCTTTTGCACGCACACAAAGGCTCAATAATGAATGACCTTCGTGGACTCTGCTTGGATGGGCGCTGGCGGCACGCAGGCATCGACATCTCGGGTGCTGGCTCAGGCTACCCACACAGATGTTCCTTCTCACCGACATTTTGAAATGCTTTCTCCTCCAAAACCTCCTCTCCCCTCTTAAAAATATCCCCGTTCTCTCCAGGAAGCCTTTGTGTTGTTTTCAGTTCGGGAGTTCCAGGGTTTGTGTGAGTGTCACATCCGTTAATCCCCTAAGACGTAGCAGGCTCTCCGAGGAAGGCAAAGTTGAGCAACTCGACACCATTTGAAGAATTAACACAGGCCAAGAGAAAGAAATGGGATATGGGCAAGGATTTCCCACATATGTAGCTAATGCCTTTAAGTTCCCAGGGATTTACACCGCCCCATCCACCAGCGGTGAGAAATCAGAGCCGTTCTAATTAACGGCCCGCGTTCACCGCACTGCCGTGCTGGGGGCTGCCTCTGGCTCACAGATGTTGGGGGCCACACCTGGGGCGGGGGGGGGTAACTAGCCACCTTGGCCCAAGGCAGGACAGTTTGCTCCCAGGGAGCAGCGGCTGTTCTCAACACAAAGGGTAGTCCCCACCCCAATAAAAGGCTGGGCTAAGTGTGGGGTTGGAGGTTTATGTCTCCTTCATCGCTTCAAGTTCCAGGGTGCCTGGACAAAGCAACCCTGAGAACCCAGGCCTGCTGTCTCAGGACCTTGTCTCCTCCAGTAGGGAACCTCCTTTGTCTATATGGGGACATTTCGGTCTGGATGGGGGAAGAACGAATTTTGGGCTAAGATCCCCAGCAGTGCCCAGTTGGCCAGATTTGGAGGTGGCCTGAATGTAGGCTGTACCCTTCTCTCCTAAACCCCACGGGCAACAATCTCCTCCCCATGTTGCAAACAACTGCAAGTGAAAAGGAAGTAGAGATTCGGACCCAGGGGCGGGGAGAGGCCAGGCTGAGCAGGGGGTTCTGGCTGCCGGGGCATCCTGGGCACCTTCTCCCCAGCCTGCCCCACAGGACCTCACGGTCCCGGGCCCATGGGAATAACCTGGAGAAGGGTCAGAGGACAGGTGCGCACAGGGCCTCCCTGGCCAGTGGGGGACCTGGCTGCCTGAGCTCCCCACGCTGGACCTTTGCAGGTGCTGTATGGGTGGGAGCATGGGAGGGTGGATGGGTGGGAGCCTTTCTGGAGGGCCCGGTCTCCCCCAGAATTCAAAGCCTCTTTGGGGGACAAGGTCTCTCTGGCCCTTTGGAACTTTCCAGCCCATCCTGCCAGGGTTCCTGGGGTGAACCCCTCCCCGACCCTGTTTTCCTCTGGGGCTGAGGACTCCTCCTCCCCCCTCTCCCACTCATCTGAGCAAGCGGCGGCCTGCAAGGTGTGCGTATTTAAGGGGTGATTCCACAGAGGCAGGGGTGTCCGGTCCAGAGTCCCTGCCTTCCCTGCCAGGAGTGCTATTTGAACTTGGAGGGAGTTCCAGGCTGAGAACTTCTCCTTCGGGTGGAAGTCAGCTCCCAGTTCCCAGCTCCCCACATCTTGGCAGGTCCCTCACCCCTACGCCCAGCATCCCAGAGTCTCGCTGGACCTCCGGCTACGGGCAGGGATCTATGAATGGACCCTAGCTCATGGCAGCTCGGATTCCGCCCCCCCCCCAGCTTCCATCGCCCCAGCAACATGGTCCAGTGAGCCAGTGAGCCGCAGCTGCAGTGCGGGCTCAGCCCCACGCTCCCACCGAGCTGTGTGGTGCCCAGGCTCAGTGCAGGGGTGGGGAGGGGAGGGGCAGGATTGCAGCAGCACTCCCCCAACTCCCAGGTGCTGCTGACTGAGTTCCCGCTCCCCCTGTGCGCCCTGGGGGTCACCTTCCTCCCCAGCCCTCTCCACCACAGACCTCTGACGGGGTCTTTCAAAACTCTCCTACTGCAGCCCCCATCTTTTAACAGGAATCCTTTGGGGTTACCTCCCAGATACTCCTGGAACTGGGGGAGGGGAGGAGGCACAGAGGCCCACAAGGGTGCCCCACTCCACCCCACCGCAGCAGATGCCCCAGCCCCCTCTTCAGAGAGGGCTAGTACCACTGGTGGCCTGCTAATAGGACCCACGGGTGGCCGCCAGGCCCAAGGCTAGGTAGGTAAGTCTCCTGCACCTCAGAAGCTCCCACCTGGAGGAAATGTCTCCTTGGAGACGCTGTCCCGAGTGGTCTCCTGCCCACAGCTTCAGTGCATGCCCTGAGAACTCCGGAGAGGGGCAGAGTAGAGGAAGGGGTGCAGTGGAGGTGGAGGACAGGAGGTCAGAGGTCAGGAAGCATTGCCCTCTCACCCTGGACAGTGTGTGTGCGTGTGCATGCACACATGCGTGTGTGCATGTGTGTGAGTGAGAATCATTGCAGCAAGATAGTCCAACATCTTAAAAACACTAACCAACCAAAAGGAGGTGTACTTGGTAAAGTCTAAATTACTAAACACTTAATCCCCATATAGAAGGGGGAGCAAAAGACCCTGCCCAGGATAAAAGACCCAGCACAGGCCAGGCACAGTGGTTCATGCCAATAAGGCTACTCAGGAGACTGAGACTAGAGGATCATGGTTCAAAGCCTGCCCAGGCAGGACAGTCCCGTGACACTGTTATCTCCATTTAATCACCAGAACACTAGAAGTGGCGCTGTTGCTCAGTGGTGGAGCACTAACCTTGAGGGGAAAAAAGCTCAAGGACAGCAACCAGGACCTAAGACACACACACACACACACACACACATACACACGGGGGCGGGGGGGGCGCATGACTCAGGGTGGAGGAGGGCCAAGAGCAGGAAGAAGCATCAGATTCATCTCTCCATCTGCCTCTGGGTTGACAGACTGCACTCGTGACACGGGGAGGAGGGGGAAGCAAGATGAGGAGCCAGGGCCAGAGAGGGCCCCTGGGGCAGAACACCACAGCGCTGGGCTGAATTCTGAACGGGGCCTTGGAGAGAAGCCACCTCTGCCCTCCTCTGCACAAGTCCAGCGCTTCCCAGGGTACCCTTGTCCACACCTGCTGTTATGAGTCGATTTATTTATTATTTACTTATTTATTTGTCGGTCATGGGGCTTGAACTCCAGGCCTGGGCACTGTCCCTGAGCTCTTTTGCTCAAGGCTAGTGATCTACCACTTTGAGCCACAGTGCCACTTCCAGTTTTCTGGTCTGTTCGTTAGAGATAAGAATATCCAGGGTGTCTGGGAATGTGGCTTAGTGGTACAGTGCTTGCCTAGCCTGCATGAAGCCCTGGGTTCAATTCCTCAGTACCATATAAACAGAAAAAGCCAGAAGTGGTGGTGAAGCCCTGGGTTCAATTCCTCAGTACCATATAAACAGAAAAAGCCAGAAGTGGCGCTGTGGTTCAAATGGTAGAATGCTAGCCTTGAGCAAATGAAGCTCAGGGACAGTGCCCAGGCCCTGAGTTCAAGCCCCAGGACTGGCACCAAAAAAAAAAAAAAGAGTGAACTGCAATCTTTAGGTCTCAGCCTTCTGAGTAGCTATGATTACAGGCTTGAGCCACAAGTGCTTAGTTTATCACCAGACATTTACTATATTAGAAAATGAAGTGGAATTGTGTGTGTGTGTGTGTGTGTGTGTGTGTGTGTGTGTGTGTGCATGCAGGTACTGCTTATCCCTTAGCTTTTCCTGTTCAAGGCTACCTGATGCTGTACCCCTTGAGCCACATCTGCACTTCCAGCCTTTTGCTGGTTAATTGGAGATAAGAGTTTTACGGACTTTCCTGCTGGGGCTGGCTTTGAATTTGAATCTTCAGAAGCTAGGATTACAGACCTGAGTCACTGGCATCCAGCTGAAGTGAAAATGTTGTAAAACATATTGGTTACTTAATTTATAAATGACAATATAAACATGCAGATCCTATATTTTCTAAAACAAAATATTAGCCCCAAGAGTGAAAAGTGGTGTTTGTCATTTATGTCCACCCCCTGACTGTTTGGCTTAATAGAAGATGACTTGTTTTTCATGTCTGATAGTGCAATTTGTGACTGGTTCATGGATAGGAGAGAATCCAGCCTCTCACAGGTGGGTCTGCAGGAGAGGGGAGCATTTTCCTGGCCTTCACAGGTCATTGTGGACATTTTTATTTTTTTGCCAGTCCTGGGGATTGAACTCAGGGCCTGGGCACTGTCCCTGAGTTTGTTTTGTTCAAGGTTAGCACTTTGCCACTTGAGCCACAGTGCCATTTCTGGATTTTTCTGTTTATGTGGTACTGAGGAATTGAACCCAGGGCTTCACGCATGCTAGGCAAGCACTCTTCCACTGAGCCACATTCCCAGCCCCCCTCGTTTTTTGTCATAGGGCTTGAACTCAGAGCCTGGACACTGTCCTTGAGCTCTTTTGCTCAAGGCTGGTACTCTACCACTTTGAGCCACAGCTCCACTTCCTGTTTTCTGGTGGTTCATTGGAGATGAGAGTCTCACGGACTTTCCAAAGCTGGGACTAGCTTTGAACCTCCTCAGATCTCAGCCTCCTGAGTAGCTAGGATGACAGGCGTGAGCCACCAGCTCCTGGCTATGGACATCCTTTGACACAACACTAAACTTCAACACGAGCTGGGGCTTGAAGGTCGATTGCCATATAGAGTTTGAAGCTGTGTCATGAAGCAGCCACGCTCTAGGAGGTCAGAATCCCCTGGCCCCTTTCATGTAGAACAGCTCTTCTATAAAATCATGTGTTGGTATTTGGAAAATAGTGGCTTACTGAATTGTGCAATTTCCCCCCATATGCCAAAAAATCAACTTGCTAATATCACCACTGACTTCACCAGAAAACGCTCTAATGGTATGGTATAATCCATAGTCTCACCTTCAGCCATGTGGGTAGCTGAGATTAGAGGACTTAGGTTCCAAGCCATCCTTGACAGAAGACTCTGGAAGACTCCATCTCAATGAAGGAACGTCAGTGAGACTCTTATCTACACTGAACTACTGGGTGTGGTAGCATACACTTGTGGGAATTCTAAAGTAGGTAGATCATAGTCCTGGCCAGTCAGATAGAAAGTAAGACTCTATCTCAAAATTAACTTGCACCAACCAAAGGGCTGGGGTCTGGGTCAGGTGTACAGAACCTGACTTGCAAGTGTGAGGCCTCAACATGTAAACTCCAGTGCCAAAAAAAAAGTTTATTTTCAGAAACAAAACTTTGGTAAAACACACATCACAAAGTTAAGCAGCTTGCCCATTTTAAGTGTGCAGCCCAGAGACATTTAGGTACGACCAGGTGCACACCCATCGCCATAATCCACCCCCAGAAAGTGTTCTTGTCTTGAGATCAAAAAGCCCAGGCCTTGGGTCTCCTCCCCCCCGCTGCTGGCCGCCTCCCTTCCGCTTCCTGCCTTTCCTCTCGCCATTCCAGGTCATGCCTATGAACATACGCCTCAGAACCTGCCCTCATTGACTGATGTACTCACTGAGCATACGCCATACATGTTCATCCGTGTGCAGCATAGGTCAGAATTTCCTGTCTTTTGAAAGGCTGGATATTCCACACTAACCAGAGGCCTTTTTTTTTTTTTTTGGTCAATCATGGGGCTTGAACTCTGGGCTTGGGCGCTGTCCTTCAGCTCTTTAGCTCCAGGCTAGCGCTCTACCACGTGAGCCACAGCGCCACTTCTGGCTTTTTCTGTTTATGTGGTGCTGAGGAATCGAACCCAGGGCCTCATGTGTGAGAGGCAAGCACTCTACTACTGAGCTACCTTCCCAGCCCTAGAGGCCACATTTTGTTCATATATTTACCTGCCGATGAGATCTGGGTTGCTTCTGGTTCTTGGCTACTTTGACTGGTGGAGCTCTGAGCACACTGTGTAAATACATCTCTGAGACCCTGCTTGCAGTGTTCTTGGAGTCATACTCAGAGTGGGCCTGATGTATCTGTGGTCATTGCTTGTGTGCTGGTCCTGGGGCTTGAACTCAGAGTCTGTGCATGATCCCTGAGCTTTGTTGCTCAAGACTAGTGCTCTACCACTGTTCCACTTCTATTTTTTTGTTTGTTTTGTGTTGCTTTCTTTCTTTTTTATTTTATTTTATTTTTTGGGGGGGTCTGGTCATGGGGCCTGAACTCTGGGCCTGGGCGCTGTCCCTTAGCTCTTCAGCTCAAGGCTAGCACTCTACCACTTGAGCCACAACACCACTTCTGGGTTTTTTCTTTTTGCTTATGTGGTGCTGAGGAATCGAAGCCAGGGCCTCAGGCATGCAAGGCAAGCGCTCTACCACTGAGCCACCTTCCCAGCCCTATTTTATTTTATTGTAAAGAGAGGTTACAGTTATCTTTACTTTTTTTTAGTAGTTTAGTGTAGATGAGAGTCTCACAGATGTTCCTGCCAGGCTGGCTTTGAACCATGATCCTCAGATCTCGGCCTCCTGAGTAGCTATGATTACGGGTGTGAGCCACCAGCGCCTGGCATATTTTGAGGAATCTCCCTGTGGGTTCTCCCGCAGCTGTGCCACTGAGCTACAACCACAGATCAAGTCAGGGTTCTGACAGATGTCTTAATGGATGGTATTTGCACCCATGCGCCTCCCCCCCCCAACAATGTAGAATGAGACTTTGAACCAAGCAGGTTTGTGCTCAGTGCCAGAACAGAGCTGAGGCAGGTGGGGCTGTGATGAAGCCGTTGAGGGGGGGAGAGGGGAGAGGGGGGAGGGGGAGGCAGCGTGGCCGTGTAGGGTGGCAGGTAAGGATGGTGCTGTGGAATGGCGCACACACCCACACACATGCCACACGCACGGGACACATGGGTGGAGGAAACAGAAGACTGAAGAACTGAATTTTTTATTCTAATGAACTCAAGTACAAATTTCAAAGCTGATTTCCACACCGGTCCCAGGCCGCTCTCAAGCGTGATCAACCTGGAAATGTGTGTCCACCTTGCAGTTGTTTGCTTTATCAGCCCTCAGTGCTCACCCAATGAGCAAGGTGGTCAGGCTGGTCAGGGCAGAGGGAAGAGGCTGGAGAGCACGGCCAGGGCCACCGCACTTGACCTCCAGGCTGCCTGCGTCCTCCTGGGGCCACCCCAGGGCCTGGGCCGCAGCCTCCCTGCTCTCCTAGCCTGGCCCACCTGCCCCACTGGCCCCTGTGTTGCTCCTCTGCAGCTCAGGACGGAGCTCCAGCTGAGATCAGCTTGCCGGATGCAGCCTGCTGTGGTGGCATCTTCACCAGGAAAAGCTGGTCATGTGACCGGCTGGACTAATCAGGCTGACCTTGGAGAGGAGGCTGCTGGGGGGCTGTGGACAGAGAGGCCTGGAGCTGGGAATCTCTGCAAATGGAGAGGGGGTGGGTTTGCAAGGCCTTGTCTTCCTCTCTGGGGCTTCTCCTCCCCAGAGACCACTGCTAGACTCTAGGCAAGGGAGGCAGAAGGGAAGCTTTTACTCAGATCAGCATCAGACTCTCCACCCTGCTCATGCAAAACTTGCCAGCCTCAGGCAGGGGAGGCTGGGTGGGGGAGCTGGTAGGAGGGACGCAGATACCCCCAGTGACCTCCACCTTAGACTTTTCCCACAGCTTCCACCATAATGCCGGCCTCAGGCTTAGCAATGCACCCAGGAAGCGCCTGGGCCAGATCTCCGAGGGGACTGGTTTCCTGGGACCTGGTCGGAACCCCCAGCTCTGCTGTGGGCTGCTGTGATCTCTGCCTCAGCGGCCCAGGCCCACCCTCCGCGGCCTGGGGGCCTGGGGGCCCATCCTGCACCCACTGATGAGACTGAAGCACACAACCAGTGCGAACAACTTGGGGGTCTGGTGGTGGAAGCGAGCTCACGTCTGCACCCCAAGTCCGAATGCTCCTGGACCTCCTCTTTGCTTCCTGCTCAAGACTTTCATTCCCCGAGCACTCAGAAAGGGCTTGTGAGCCGCAGCCTGCCCTGGGCCCGGTTCTCCCAGTCAGAGTCTTGGAGGGCAACGCCAGCCAAGCTTCTCTCCTCCCTGGTGAAGTGGTCTCTACCCTGGAGAATGGACGATGGTTTCAGGGCCGCAGAGACGCACCCATGGGTTCTGTCACCTGTCAGCTGGGCGCCCTGTGCACCTGCTGGCTTCCACCCCTCAGGGCTAACTCGTCCTCTCATCCACAGCAGCAGCGCAGGGGTAGGTGGCACCAAGACTGGTTCTAGGCTGTCTGGAGTACAACCTCCACTCCGGGCCCATGCCTCAGCCTCCACGCCCGCCCCAAGCCTTAATCCGGAGGACAGGAGGACAGAAGACCAGCAGGACTGCCCCAAGCCAGCTGCTTCCCATCCCCAACCAGAGGCTATGCCTCAGGGACAGAGGCCTGGGAAAAGGAGGCTCAGGCCTCCGATGCCGCCGGGCTCTGCGGTCCAGGAGGCAGGGTGGCTCTGAGGAAGACGAGCATTCCGCCATTACTACAGAGCGCACTCTCCCAGGATGGGAGACGCAGCAGCCTGTGCCTCCTCAGAGCAGAGGGAGTCAGGGAGTCAGGGAGTCAGGGAGTCAGGGTCCCAGGGCTGACGCTCCTCCAGCCAGAAACATTTAGCAGCAGTCCATGCAGTGGCATGCCCATCCCCAGCCTACTCGCCTAACTGCGATGCCGGCTGGCCACGTGCGTCACCCTCCAGTGTGTGCCCGCAGCTCCTGCCAAGGGAGCCCTTCCAACACAGGTCCCACACTTCCTGGGTCCTTGTGCCCAAATTTCTGAGCCCTGACACACTAGCATAGCTTGTCTAAAGGCAGGAGTCCCAACCATTTACCCAGCTCCACTCTTTCTTTTTTCTTTCTTTCTTTCTTTCTTTCTTTCTTTCTTTCTTTCTTTCTTTCTTTCTTTCTTTCTTTCTTTTTTTCCCTCCCTCCCTCCCTCCCTTCCTCCTTCCCTCCTTCTTTCCTTCCTTCCTTCCTTCTTTCTCCTCCTCCTTTTGTTGTTGTTGGTCATGGTACTTGAATTCTGGGCCTAGGCGCTGTCCCTCAGCTCTTCAGCTCAAGGCAAACAAACACTCTACCATTTGAGCCACAGCGCCACTTTCAGTTTTCTGGTGGTTGGAGTTAAGAGTCTCCTGCCCAGGCTGGCTTTGAACCATGATCCTCAGATCTCAACCTCCTGAGTAGTGAGGATTACAGCCATGAGCCATCAACACCTGGCTGCTCCTCCTCCTCCACCTCCTCCTCTTCCTCCTCTTCCTTCTTTTGGTCGTGGGGCCTGAACTCTGGGCTTGGGTGCTGTCCCTCAGCTCTTCAGCTCAAGGCGAGCCCTCTACCACTTGAGCCACAGCGCCACTTCCGGCTTTTTCTGCTTATGTGATGCTGAGGAATCGAACCCAGGGCCTCACGCATGTGAGGCAAGCGCTCTACCACTGAGCCACCTTCCCAGCCCTCCTCCTTCTTCAACCTCTTCTTCCTCTTCTCTCTACTCCCCGCCCCCACATACTAGGGTTTGAACTCAGAGTCTTAAAGCCTCAACATTACCAGGCAGGCACTCTACCACTTGAGGCATGCCTCCAGCCCTTTTCACTTTAATCTGTTTTACCCGGGGCCATCATTCTACCTGTCCCTCCCTCACAGCCAAAGGGCAGCCGTGCACCAGCACATCTGCCTGCTTTACGGAAGCCCCCGCTTCTGGGATTTGGGGTTCCGCTCACCGTGGGCTCCCCACCCATGTCCCTCACCTCCAGCTCTGAGCTTGCTCTGTCTCCTCCCCTCGGCGGACCCCCCCTGAGTCTGGGTGGCAAATCCCGCTGTGGTCCTGCTGCCGTGTGTACCCAGCCATTCCCCTCCCACCCAGCCCGCAGGCTGCGCTTGCTCTGCAGTTCTGCCTGGAAGTGTACCAGCTCTGCGGGGCTCCACTGGCTTTCTCTTCTCTGACCTGCGCCTCCTGGAGACCTGGGCAGTTGTGCATGCTGAGGAGGGGGAGGCCACAGGAATGGGAGGTCCCAGAGTGCAAGAACCCAGGGAGACCCCACCCCCTGCCCCCCCTCCCAGCAGGCCACTGAGTCCCCCAAGCTGTAATGAAGGAAACTGGTCCAGCCTTGATGGAGGTTTCTCCATCAAGTAAAACAGATCTCCCGTCGGTCTTGGGTTCCTACCAGCCAACAGCTTCTGAGTGCTTCCAGAGGAAATGAAGAGAGAATGTCAGCGAGAGGGACACCTGCTGCCCACGTGCACGCAGCGCCGTCCACGGCAGCCGGGATTCAGAGCCAGTCTAGACGCCCTTCAACCCTTCAACACAGCGCTGGGGACACACGTGCAGTCGATTTATCTAAAATGGTATCTGATGAACTATTATTCAGTCATAAAAAAGAAAGAAGCCCCGCTACCTGCAACAAAAAGTGAAATAAAACAGACACACCAAGGCAAAAACTGGGTGTTTTCTTTTATATACAGAAGCTCCAAAAAAGAAAAAAAATGAAATCAAGCTGGAAGCAGGATAATGATTAGCAAAGGCTGCAGAGGGGGGTGGGGGGAGGAGGTTGATTTGATTCGAGCATGCTCTGTGCAAGTGCCATCGCAAGGCAGAGGGCTGGAGGCTGATTCTTTACTGCCTTTACTACAGGGGCCTGGTGCTGCCTAGGAAGGGAGCTGCTGAGCTGTGCAGAGGGGAAGGAGCGTGCTGAGTTATGGGAAGGGAGCTCATTTTGCTAACAGCGACCATTACAGCAATTCTCACTAAGAGTAGAGGCCAGCCAGGGAGGGGTACAGAGAGTTGGGGGTCAGTCTGTCTGAAGATCCCCAGTCCACCAAGTCCACCGCTCAGTGTACTGGCCGTACTCACGAGTCTGCATTTGTGTGTGTGCACACATGCACGGGTGTGTGTGCACATGTGCAAGTGAGTGGGTCCTGAGGCGTGAACTCAGGGCCTGGGCGCTGTCCCTTAGCTTTTCTTCACTCAAGGCTGGCACTCTACTGCGTGAGCCACGGCTCCACTTCCAGCTTCTTGCTGGTTTATTGGAGATAAGAGTCTCACAGACTTTCCTGCCTGAGCCAGCTTTGAACCTGGATCTTTGGGTCTCAACCTTTTCCTGAGTAGCTAGGCCATAATTTTATACAGTAAGATCTGATGGTTGCTCTTCAGGACAGAATGAACTGTTGGGTAGTAAAAGCTGATAAGCTAATCGGGGACCTTTCTGAGCCTCCATGAGCCTCTGTTTCTCCACCCACTGCCTGTAGGTTTTTGTTCGTCTCCTCCAGCTAGGCCCGGACCAGGGTTCCGGGAGAAGGGGGATTTTGCCCTGTGTCTGCTCTGAGGGAAGGAAGCCGGGGAATTCCCACCTGCAGCGCAAGCCGGGAGCTCAGGTAGGACAGAAGCACAGCTTCGTTCTGACTGCACTTGCTGATACTAAACATTAGCTCCTGACCCTTGTGTTTGAACTTCCTGGGGGGCAGGGGGCACAGATAGAACACTGGGAAGGGGCAGCCCCCGCCCATCGCCAGGCAGCCAGCTAGCCCTGGGTGAGCAGACACCTCCACATCTCCCAGAACAAAGAGCGAAGGGAAGAAGGTTTGATGATTCCTGCGGGCTTGTTCCCGTCCCCAGTGGTCAGGCTGAGGGGACATTTTCTAGGCTAATTGAGCTTTGCCCCCAATTCCACCCTCTCCAAGAAAGAGATTCTTTATTAGTCACTTATTAGAATGCGCTTTAAATAGTTCCTCCATTCGCTTCCTCACCCATCCAGCCCAAGTCTCCGTGGAGAAGCGGTGGCCCCGGGGACCACGTACTTCCATCCACATTGGCGAAGAGCCGGCAGCCGAGGGCCCGGCCTGCCCGCCAGGGACGGAGCCTGCTACCGCTTCATTTCCACGGGGGCGCACTCTCCGGCTGTGACAATTAAAAAGAGGGAAAAACCCATTTGCATTTTTCCTGGGTGTAATGACCCTCCAAACCAATGTGCCGCAGTCTAGCTTGCACAGCAGCATGCGCCGAGCATGAATAATTCATCGGCCCCGAGTTCTCCTCTGGACAGGGCGGGAGCCTTGTTTTTGACCTAGTTCCGAAAGTTGAGTCGGGTCACGTGATCTCTGTCGCCACATGGTTTCCATCCTGTAAGCTCAGTGCCATTTTGCTCAAAGATATCACATTCTAAGTAAACTTAGTGTCAGGGTTTGGAGACTTAAATTGATGAAGCAGAGACTTAATTTGTTTTATATATCCCGAAGCCTTACACTTAATTAATTTGCCATTTGGGGCACAGAGGCACCTTCTGGTTAGGTGTGATATCGCTCCGCTAGGCTTCATTGTAAATATACAGACAGTGGCTGGAGTGGACAGATCACAAAGTTCTGGCCCTTTTGGAGCAACCTAAGGTGTCTGTGGTTCTGGCCAGCGGTTGGACTGACCGTGGCTGCTGCCCTCAGGGTCCGACCTGGCCGGTCTGTCTGGACTCTGTGTGGATTGTCCCTCGTGATGCACGCTTGGGTTACTTCTGGTGCTTGAATTCCCGGGACCACCCTGCTGGTGTACGCATGTGTGCACTGCTGCAGGGGCACACGGAAGATGCCGCCACAGCCACAGTGGAGCCCCACCGACAGGAAAAAGCAGGCATGCTTTGATCTCGGGGGCCAGTGCGTGTGACCAAGGGGAAGAAGGGCAAGGTGCGGGCGTCGCCCATTGGTTGTGGTGGGCGCGCTGGTGTGTGGATGAACCGTTCCTGTGTTAGACCACAGACCACCTCCCAGCTGCTCTGCTCACGACAGGAAATGGGAAGTTTGTGAGTGTGAACGACTGGACTCTGGGCACACAACGGGTTACAAAGAGTCCTTCTAGATCCTTCTGGTCCCAAGAGTTGGACATCCCATGGCAGAGTATCCTCCACCCGGCCCCCTTCGCCCCACAGGTGTTTCCGGCAATCAGACAAGGGCCCTGGCTGGTATCTCGGTTGGCGGCCGTGGAATTGGAGGGAAGGCAGGGGAGGCAGCTTTGTGGGGAGCCCTCTCGGGGCACCCGACCCCAGGGAGCCTGTCTGCTGGGCTGCTGCGCTCAGAAGACTGCCCCGGCTGAGGTTCAGGAAGCTGCCACTGGGAAGCTAGGACTGGTGGGTCTTTGCTCAGTCAGGAGAGGTGCTTCTTCCCTTGAGGATTTATGCCATAAGCCCTTCCCTTGGCCCATTTTCCCGCAGCATGGCTGCTGTCTCCGCAGCTAATTCTCCTGCACCTCTGCTCATCTGTTCTCCGGGCTTCCCGGCGCTTCTCACCTGCTCAGCAGCCGGGCAGAGCTTTGATAAATCTATCAGCTCTAACAGCCAGGATTCAGGCCACTTCTCAGACAAGTGGCAAATCCGTCAGAAAGTCCTTAGCGGTGAGCGCCCCGAGTTTATGGGTAAGCCCTGGATATTTATTAAACTCGGGGCCTTATAGGAAAAAAGATTCACACACACACACACACACACACTATAGAATTCCTTTAAAAATATCCCCCGTCCCAGTTTGCTGAGTTCTGAGACCACTGAAGCCACTGTGGCAGTCTGTCTATCCAGCTTGCATCTGGTGTTGGTCCCAGCCTGGCTCAGAGCATCCCGCCCTCCCCCCAGGGCCAAGAACTCTGTTATATCTGGAATTTGCCTGTGCTTTTTGTTTAGATGCTTTACTTTTTTTTTTGTCAGTTGTGGGGCTTGAACTCTGGGCCTGGGCACTGTCCCTGAGCTCTTCAGCTCAAGGTGAGCACTCTACCACATGAGCCACAGTGCCACTTCCAGTTTTCTGGTGGTTAATTGGAGATAAGAGTCTCACCGACTTTCCTGCTGGGACTGGCTTTGAACCTTGATCCTCAGATCTCAGCCTCCTGAGTAGCTAGGATGACAGGCGTTAGCCACTGGCGCCCAGCTAATGCTTCACTTCTTTTAGGTCTTAGGTTATCTGGGGGTGTTTATGTGCGTGTATGTTTAAGTGCATGCATACATGTGTGCACAAATGCACTGAATACTGTGTACACACATGCGTGCGCATCGGTATATGTGCAAATGTCTCAGGCATGTGAGAATTTTATAAATGTATGCATGGGTGTAGGTGTGTGTGAATATGCATGTCTTTTGCTAATGTATATGTGTATAAGTCTGTGTGTGTGGATGGGTGTAGTGTGGATACACATGCACTGTATACACGTATGTGTGCATGTGTGCTTTGAGTGTATGATCACTTGGCAAGTGTCAGCATAGGTATAAGTGAACCTGACACGCATGCCTGTATGTTCCAGTGTTCGTGGTGTAATTGTAGATGTGTGTTCAGGTGTGCACTGGGGTGTGTGCTCCTGTGTATCCTGTGTGCACATGCGTGTACGCTCAGGCCACGCTGGTCTGTCCTCAGCCCCTCCTGCAGATCTGGTCAGTGACAAGGAGAGCGGAGGCTCAGCTCCGCGGGTCCATATGGAAACGGATGCCCTTCGCCCCCGCTCTCCCTGCCGGGCCGGCGGAGCCTGGCCCAGCCTCCCCCTGAGGTGGGACTGGGCCAGTTGGCACCGTCTGAGGATGGGTTTGGTACCTGGAGGCCGGAAGCCCTGCCTCAGGCTGTGCCCTGCCAGGTTCTGGAGCAGGCTGTGACGCTGGTTGAGGGCCCTGAATCAGGTGGGTCCACAGCCTAGAGAGACCCTCGGCGGCCTCCCGCACACCCCCATCAGCCCGTACAAGACAGGTCTGCAGGACCCCACCACACTGGGTGAGATGCACTGCTCCCCAACCCCCAGGGCCTCCAGGTCTCCGGAGGAAAACCAAAGCCAAGCCAAACCGAAGGACCTGCCCAGAACTTGGAACTCACTCTGCATACTTTGCAGAAAAGCAAAGCCTCAAGCCTTTGTTTACTGGTGTGTGTGTGTGTGTGTGTGTGTACTAGTCCTGGGGTTTGAACACAGGAGCTAGGTGTTGTCCCTGACCTTTTTTGCTTGAGACTGGTATTCTACAACTTGAGCCACAGATCCACTTTTGGCTTTTTTGCTGGTTCATTGGAAATGAGAGTCTCGCGGGGCTTCCCTGTGCAAGGTAGCACATGGTGGCGGGGTGGAGGGAGAGTGTGGCTGAGCAAAACTGCTCGTCAGACAGTGGGTGTGGGTGGGGGCCTGGGGTCCCCCACCGTGGTGTGTTCTCAGGGACCTGAAGACCTCTCAAAGACCCTGGAAGGGCTCATGCTGAGGACCAAGCCTTTAACACACAAGCCTTTGTGACACACAAATTAGCCAGGAACCAGAGTCCTAACTACTCAGGAGGCTGAGATCTGGAGGACCATGTTTTGGAGGCCAGCCTGAGCAGAAAAGCTTACTAGAACCCCTCTCCAAAATAATCAGCAAGAAGCAAAGCTGGAGACGTAGTTCAAGTGGTACAGCACCAATTTAGATTTAGTAAGCCCAAGGCTCTGAGTTCAAACCCCAATACTACCAAAATAAATTCCAAACAGTTGGCCACACTGATCTCGAACAATGAGCACTCCTCAGTTACCATCCAAGGGATGCAGCTTTGCTGGCTCTGAGCCCCAAAGTGGCCATGAGCAGAGGGAGGTGGGCATCTCTAGATTCTAGGAAAGGCCAGAAATGGATTCTCCCAGGAGCCTTCTGAGGGCCCAACCCTCTCTGCTCCTTGACTTTGGCCCAGTGAGATGGGGTCCAACACCTGTTGTCCAGCGCAGGGGACGCATGGTCCGGCCACGGCCCCTGCGGCCGGTACTTTGTTATCGCATCCCAGGGAAACTCGCAGCATCTGAGCGCTTGTGACTTGAAGCCAGGGTTTTCCTCTGCCCTTACCCAGGTCAGCAGGGGGGCTGGCCCTGCTCTTCACAGTCAGAATGAGAAGCAGAAGTCTAACCCCATTGATGCTAACTCATTGTGGGCTGTGCACAGGGCAAGAGGCTTGGGGCCTCTGGTGACCCCTTCTGGTCCCGGGTCCATGTACCAGGTGTGTTTCCAGGGGAGGTGCTATCTGAGCAATTTCCTCTGCACGGCTCAGTGTGGGAACTCACTGGCCGGGGTGGGGGGGATCCGGGGCGGAACGGGGAGTCCTGGCTCCATGCCCTCAGACTCATCCGGCTGTGACCTGTGCCCTGGCTGTGGGAGCTGCGTCCCAGGAAGCCAGGGGAGGATCAGGAAGCCGCCGGAGTCCCACAGGATATGGGAGCCCCTCCGTCCCAGGGGGCCTGTAGAATGGACAAGCCATCCCAGGTCCCTTTCCCAGCATGAACGGGAGGCAGGGGAGCGGTGAGAGGCACCTGAGAGAAGCGGGGCCAAGTGTGCCAGCCCCACCCGCCACCCCAGCCTGGCGTTGGAGGGACCTAGCATCTGATCCAGCCAGACAGAGCAAACCTCAGCAGCCGCAAGGAGCCTGAGGTCTGCGAAAGAAAGAGCGGCCCAGGGGCTGGGAAGGTGGCTCATGGTAGAGTGCTTGCCTAGCATGCAGAAAAAGCCAGAATTGGCACTGTGACTCAAGATGTTCAGGGACAGTGCCAAGGCCCTGAGTTCCAGACCCAGGACTAGCAAAAAGAAAGAAAGAAAGAAAGAAAGAAAGAAAGAAAGAAAGAAAGAAAGAAAGAAAGAAAGAAAGAAAGAAAGAAAGAAAGAAAGAAAGAAAGAGAGAGAGAGAAAGAGAGAAAGGAAGGAAGGAAGGAAGGAAGGAAGAGGGTGGGGAAGAGCAGCTCCCAAGAGCACAGCACTAGTGGGTCTGTCTGGAAGATGGAATTCCTCCTCCAACAGGACTGTGCCCAAAACATGCATCCCCACATCATGCACACGCATCCCCCCACCTCTTCTCTGCACACTTCATGCATACACACCCCCCCAAGCTCTTCTCTGTACACCTCACACATGCACATGCCCAAGTTCTTCTCCGTACACCTGGCACACACAATCACACCTATCCTCATATGTGCACACAAGGGCAGCCTCATGTACATGCTCTCTCTCACACACACACACATACACACACACACACACACACACACACACACACTACCCCTTCCACACCTATTTCGTACCACCAGGCCACCAGGACCATTGCTCAGAGCTGAGTTCCTGGTTTGAGCTGGAGCCCATCTGATTTCTTTCCTGATCTTTTTTTTTTTTTTTTTTGGTCATGGGACTTGAACTCGGGGCCAGGGCGCTGTCCCTCAACGCTTCAGCTCAAGGCGAGCGCTCCATCATTGAGTCACAGCGCCACTGCTCCAGCTGGAGACATACCACAGGCAAACTTCACTTGGGCTGTCCTCAACCCAGCTGAAGTCCTGAGGGAGGACGTGCACTGGGAAGGGAGGTGTGACGCCACAGATGACGCTCTGTACCCCCCACTGCCCACGCAGCTTCTACCTCACTTCCCTCGGGAAGCACCCAGCAGGCCGCTCCGCTGGCCAGAGCCGCACCCTTGAACCACTGGTCTGTGCCCCTCCCCAGCCCTTCAACGTAAGCTCGATTCCCCGGCCCAGGACAGCCAGCGAGGCCACGGTTAGCGTCACGGGAAAGGAGGACAGACCCTCACCGGTGTAGCCCAGCATGTCCCTGGGGAGGTGGCCCACAGCAGGAGTCCTTGCAGACAGAGGGACAGGTGCCCACAGGCCCAGAGACCGAGGCAGCCTGCACAGGCTTTCCCAGCGGTGGTGGCCCCTCAGTGCTTGGAGAGCAGAGCCTAGAATCTGTGATCTGCTCCTGCGGTCATGACCAGGCAAGTCCTGCCCGGGGTCCTGGGCCACCCCAGCCTGATCCCTCCCCGCCTGCGTGCCTCTCTGGTCTTCCCACCTGCTGTCCCTGCTGCACACACCTCAGGCGCGGGCACGGCGTGAAGTTGCCAGCCTGAGAGCTGACAGCCGCCTCCAGGCTCAACTTTTGATCCACCTGGCTGCTGATACCTTCAAACCAGAGCGCTTTTCCAGCGCCTGCTCCCTGCCCGGTGGTGGCCGTCTCCTGCGGGGCGAGGTGGTGCCACAAAGGCAGCAGTGGCACACAGTGAGCAGCCCGCTGGCACCGGTGTGTTGGCAGGGCCCCTCCAGGAGGGGAGGGCTGCTGCCCTTCTCCCTGGAGTTGGCCTGAGCGAGGCTCGGATTCACCACCTCATCTGACAGGAGAGACGGGCTATGGGAAAATGACTTCCCTCGCCTGGGCCACCTGCGGGGCTGCTGTGGCAACCCCAGGAAACAAACCGAGTCACTGCCACCAGCTCCACTCCCTTCCTGCCACAGCGCAGGTGGGTCTGTCCTGGCCAGGGGACCTAGCGGACCCCAGTGCGGTCCCCAGTGCGGTCCCACTGGGCACCCAGGCCACCTTCAGAGGCTGATGGCTCCTGACCAGCACGTCCAGCACCACATCTAGCCAGAGACACAAATGTGCATCCAAGGTTCTATACTTTCCCCAGCAACTCCACCATCCAGAGCCCATCTGAGGACAGACTTCCAGAGCCCCTGGACCCCAGAGGAGAGACATATGGGGCAGGCTTGCACCTGACCAGTGGTCTGAGGTGAGCAGTCCAGGTCACCCTGTAGGCTCAAAACAAGACAAATATGGCTTTTGTGGGGCCATTTTGTTATGTAGCCCTATCACAGTAGTAGCTGACACATACACCCATGCAGCCTCTATGCCCTACCACCATCTGTGTGACTGCTCTGTTACATATCCGTTATTAGTACAAGAAAAGGTCCTGTTGGTGGTGGTGGTGATGTGTGTGTGTGTGTGTGTGTGTGTGTGTGTGTGTCAGTCCTAGGGATTGAACTCAGGGTCTGGGCACTGTCTCTAAGCTTCTTTTGCTCAAGGCTAGTGCTCTACCACTCGAGCCAAAGCTCCAGTTCTGGCTTTTTTTTGTAGTTTATTAGAGATAAGAGTCTCCTGGACATGTTTGCTCAAGCTGGCTTTGAACCCCGATCCTCAGATCTTAGCCTCTTGAGTAGCTAGAATTACAGACGTGGGCCACCCACACCTGCTTGTTTTCTGGGTTTTGTTTTTGTTTCTGAGGACGAAAAAGAAACAATTGACCAGAGGCAGCTGGACTTTATTCCATAGCAGTGGGACAGCTAGGGGGCGGGGAGGTTAGGAGCGTGTGGGCCCCATCTGCTCATGCAGAAGTGGGAGGGAGAGAAGAACTCAGGGAAGCATGGTCGCAGCTTTATGATTATTCTCTTACATCCAGTCCCACACCACTCTTTCAAAGAATTTTCCTCTTTGGTTTTAAAACTGTGCTTAAATTGGACGTTCAGAGCCCTCCTCCGGCACGCTGTCATTTCCAGGCTCGGGGGCCTGGGATCTTCGGCTTGGGGCGGTGGGGGTGGCGGTGGGGCTGCTGAGCAGCTGGCCCGGCCTCTGTCCTTTTTGGGGTGTGCTAATCTGGCTCCCAGAATGGGGCCTGCATCTGGGCCCCACCATGCATCTTCCTTTGGCTTCGGGGAAGTAGAGCTGATTCCAGCGCCTGTCGTCAACCAAAGGATTTTGAATGCAGGAGGCCACTGCAGGCTGGATTAAAACACACTTTCATGGCAGCTGGGTTTCTGACAGAAATGCCACACGCTGGCACCTGGCGGTGTTTCTGGGCTGGCAAAGCGAAAACTTGGATTTTTCGCGGCTCCCACTATGAGGCCCGCAGCACTCTGCAGACAGGCCGTGTGACTGGCATTGCTGAGCAGCGCCAGGGCGGGCAGGCCACTGGGCCGGCTCCCAGACTGCGAGGACAAACGTGCACTGCGAAGTTCAGGGGTGGTTGTCTGGACCCAGGTCTGATGGGGCTGCGGGGGCAGGAGTCCCACCGGGCTGGCCCTCCGCTGCCCACTCGTCCATTTAACTGCAGACATGCCTTCCTCAAGGCCTCAGCTGCCCAAAACTGGAACTTTCCAAGGCTGGCACTGTGGCTCACCCCCGTAATTCTAGCTAGTCCAGAGACTGAAATCTGAGGATCCAGGTTCTAAGTCAGCCTGGGCAGGAAAGTTTGAGACGCTCATCACTGACTGGGGCTGTGGCTCAAATGGCAAAGCACCAGCCCTAGTGGGAGAAACTAAGGGACAGCAGCCAGACCCTGAGTTCAAGCCCCAAGACTGGCATGCGTGTGCGTGCGTGTGCCACACACACACAGAAGTGAGACTAAAAGAAATGACTGTTGGATGTATAATGAGACAGAACATGAAGTATAACGTGCCCTTGTTCTTCCGCTGAGCAATCGAAACCACTAGTTTTTCCATGGGGAAGATAAGCTTGCAGCTAGACACTGTTCGTCCGCTGTGGTCTCTGCGCCGCCCCCCGCCTCCCACGGGCTGCAGCTACCAGTCCTCTGCATGGCTTATCTGCCTGGCGCGAGAAGAGTGCCCCCAGTCAGAATGGACTGCACCCCACAGCACCTTGCAGAAGTCGGGGGGGGGGCGCTCACCTCTCCAAGCTCCGCCCCCTCCCAGGAGTCCCGCTCCACGGAGCCACGCCCATGAGACACAGGGGCCACGCCTCCGAGGGGGCCACACCCCACGGAGCCACACCTCCACGGAGCCACGCCCCACGGAGCCACGCCCCACGGAGCCACGCCCACAGAGCCACGCCTCCACGAAGCCACGCCCAACGAGACACAGGGGCCACGCCTCCGAGGGGGTCACACCCCATGGAGCCACACCTCCACAGAGCCATGCCCCCACGGAGCCACGCCCCCACAGAGCCACACCTCCATGGAGCCACGCCCAACGAGACACAGGGGCCAAGCCTCCGAGGGGGGCCACACCCCATGGAGCCACACCTCCACAGAGCCACGCCCCCATGGAGCCACGCCCCCACGGAGCCACGCCTCCACGGAGCCACGCCCAACGAGACACAGGGGCCAAGCCTCTGAGGGGGGCCACACCCCACGGAGCCACGCCCACGGAGGCCCACCCTGCAGAACCACGCCTCCACGTAGCCACGCCCATTGAGGCACACCCCCGAAGAACCACGCCTCCACAGAGCCACGCCTCCACAGAGCCACGCCCCCACGAAGCCACGCCCCCACGAAGCCACACCTCCACGGAGCCACACCCCACGGAGCCACACCCCACAGTGCCCTGCTCCCCGATCTGCCGGGCATTAGGTGACCTGCCAGGCCACTCGCCTGGCTGGGGCCTTCGCGCTTTCCCTCCTTCCCGACCTTACCCCTGCTTCCTGACCGAGTCACAGCCCCAGCGCCGGCAGCACCCCGGCCCAGCAGTAACCGCCGTGTCTGCGTGTGGATGCAAATCCTTCCTAGGGCAGTTTTCACCCACCTTGCTCTCTCAGGGGCAAGGGGCCTCTCTGGGCTGCTGACTCACGAGCCACACCGCGGCACACAGCGGAGAAGACATTCCTAAGCAAGATCATCTTCTGTGTTGAGCTGAGCTCAAATACTACGAGTTCAGGAGCAACAGCCCCTGCGGAGCCGGCTGGGCGCCATAGGAAAGAGACGGGCTGGGGAGCAGCCTCAGGCCAACAAGGTAATTGCCACCGTTGGTGTGACCCTGCGGAAAAACGCCTCTGATGCCAGCTTTCTTCTTCCTTTTTGGCAGCAGTGGGGCTTGAACTCGGGGCCTGGTTATTGTCTCTGAGCTTTGTCAATCAAGGTGAGTGCTCCATCACTTTGAGCCACAGCGCCACTTTTGGTTTTCCGGTGGTTAATTGGAGGTAAGGGTCTCTCTGCCTTTCCTGCCTCAGGCTGGCTTCAAACGTGATCCTCAGATCTCAGCCTCCTGAGTAGCTTGGATTGCGGGCGTGAGCCATGGGCGCCAGGCTTGATGCCAGCTTTCTGTGCAGAGTGCCAAGCACTCACATGCCCCGTTCCCTGGAGCCCCACCCGGCTTAGTAGAAGATGGCACTTGAGGAGCCCCAAGCTTGCCCCATCCTGCATCATCCAGGCAGAGCCAGACCCAGCTGGGGGAGGAGGAAACCCTGCGCAGTCCCTTCTGGAGGGAAACCAGAGAGACAACTGTCACCAGACAAGAATGGCACTCAGCTGGCCCTGTGACCCTCAGGCAGGCAGAGGGAGATCAGGTTTTGCCTCTTGTCAGCCTCTTGTCCTGGCCCCCGGCTATCTTAAAGAGAAAATAGATGGCCCAGAGAGCAGACACATTCTCCAAGGTCCGGCTGCAGTGAGGAGGGGTGGGGGGGCGCTGTGACTGACCACCAAGAATATCCGTGGTGACCCTGGCCACAGGGCCCTGGCATGTCCCCGGCCACGTGGCTTGGCGGAGAAAGGCTCCCCTCGGTGAGAAACGAAGCAATTGACTTGATATCTAAGGAAAATTCCATCTTGTACTGCTAGGGGTACAAAATGAGTCTAGAGGAAGTGCTGCTAACTTCAAGTTGAATTTGAAATGAATTTCCCCCCAAGTTTTTAAAGCAGCGCGTGATTGCTGTTGTTTGCATCTTCTCCGTGGGAACAAGTGTGTGCATTCACTCTTCCTTCTGAGCACATTTCACACACACACACTCACTCCGTATTTATATATTTATCTAGTTATTAAATTCTTGTATTTTTACACTTTTCTTCCCAATGTTTCGGAAGAAAGCTGCAAAAATCTTATGAAATACTCAGATTTCCTTTGCAGGTTCCTTTTGCAAGCGTCTGTTCCAGAAAGCTGTGTGCCAGCAGAGCTCTGCTCCAGGCTGGGCACTGGACCCCGGGTGGGAGGAGGCCCAGGCCTTGCAGACCCTCTTCCTGCTCCTCCCGCTCCTGTGCTCCACCCTCTCCAGCTCCTCCAACCTCTCCAGTTCCAGCACTACTCCAGCCTCTCCAGCTCTTCCTCTAGTTCCCGAGCCTGGCTCACCCAGCAAGGGCCTCATGCAGAAGGCATCTGATACAAATACTGTAGGTGCTTTTTGTGTGTGTGTGCCCAGCATCTGGGGTGTCAGGGGCCCCTCAGCGCATTATCATGTCAGCCTCATCTTGAAAACAGGCCTCCTTCACCCCATCAATTTGCCACCAGCTCCCACATCAAGTGGAGTAACAGTGGAACGTGTGGTTTTCCCAATGACTTGCAAATTTCCTCTGCCTCCACCCCTCAGAGCACAGGCTGATAAATGTTTGACTGCAGGCTGCTTCTGGCTGCACTGCCTAGACTTTCTCTGCAATATCACAGCAGCTGAAGGACCTGTGGCTGCAGAGAGGATGCATTATTAATCCCACATCCCAGGCTGCGCATATTGAAACAAGCTCTCCGACATTTTAAAGACCTGGGCGGGCGTCCGGATGTGGAGGCCGGGACGGAACTGTGCACACAGCCCACTGCAGGAGGTCAGCACACCACACTCTCGCACAGGGGTGTCACACTCATATTTTAATAAAATTGGAAGATATATGCTTTATGCTTCTCATTTTGTGATATTTCCCAGGAGAAACCAGACTGCGAGTTTTTCTGGTTAATGATTTTCCCACTCAAACATACACAATTTATGAAGATACACTGTTCTCAAGATATAATGTCAAACCCGTTTGAATTTAAATGTCTTTAGTAGCAGGCATGAATCAGGAAGCTACCTCGCCCTGGGTTTGCTAGGCAAGCAGTCCGTTCTGGCTGTACTGAGGGGTGAGGCAGCCTCGGTGTGTCCATCCAGTCTATAGGATGTCGGCATGCAGACCCACCCTGCCTGTGAGCCAAGGTGCCTCCAGGGCTCGACCCTTCTTATCTCCCGATATAAACACAGCTGAAACAGCATCTCAGAGACACCCGAGAGCTGGGCTCTCCTGGCTTATGTCGCCTCAGCCGCTGGCCTGGTGGGGGAAGCCATTTTCACCACTGCTGGTCCTGGCACACCAGCTCCTCACTTAACACAGCCCTTGTACTATAGGATACGGGAGCCCGTACTCTCCTGATTCTTCAGGGCTCCACGTGCTACGGGTTGGGGCCTCAGCTTGCATGACCTTCAGATGCCCTTCAGACACCCTCCTGGGGAATCCTGGGGCAGCTTCCTGCCCTTCCAGCTCGGGGCCTGTTGTGGGGTCAGATGTGGGTCTGGGATGGATGAGGGGCCCTCTGAGCATGGGGGCAGAGCTCAACTTCAGTGTGTAAGTGGGGGCTGGCTGGCTTCAGCATCCAAAGGCCTGGGTTCAAGACCTGCTCAAGCTTCATAGTGGCACCTTCAACCTGGTCTTTCTTGCCAGGGCTTTGTCTCCTCCCTGTCAAACTGAAGAAATGGCTCCTTTACCACTGTTGGGACCCTCCTGCCTCCCCCATCAGACCCCAAGCAGAGTGGAGGCAGCAAGGTCAGGCCCCATTCACCGCTCCTGCTGCTGCTGCTGCTCACCCCACACCAGCCTCTGGCTGCCCCTCCCCTGGGCTCTGCTGGAATACTACCAGTTCTCACCACCAGGTAGGCTGTAGCAGGAGGAGGCTGGGGGATGCTGGCATCCCCAAGGCCTGGCCACACCCAGCCGCACACCACACTTGGCTTCCTGAAGTGGCAGAGGAAGGCAGTACCAGCTGGGGGAACCACCAGGCTGCACTGGCAGCTGCAGGGGGACGGGTGGGGGGGAGAGACTGGGAGAGCCCAGGAGCCCCAAACACTGCACCTCCATGGTCTTAGGGTGAGGTCCTCTACGTTCCTGCACAGGCAGGCAGCAGGGACCAAAGGATGGGCCATGCAGAAGCCATGCTCAAGCCCTGGCCTCCCTCACCTGGGAAAGGCCTGGCTTCTGTGAAGCCACGTCCCCTTCCTGGAGCTCCACCCCCCACTCTCCGCCATTACCTGCTGGCCCCTTGTCCTTTCCCATCATCTTCTGCTAACTGGGCTGTAGCCTTCTCAGACAGGCCTGCTTAACACCAGCTTGTGGGTCAGTGGAATCCATGAGGGTGGGAGAGGTCAGGACACCACGGAGACCCCAGTTTCCTCTTCTGGAAATGGACGCATGGAAGGGTGTCTGATTTTACCCCTAGTACTGTCCAGTACCTCCTCCACCCTGCCCCAACTCTCCTAGGACTTGAGTTTTCTTCCCAAAAGCAGTTGGCCCACTCCCCCCCACCTTTTTTTTGTCGGGTTTTTTTGTCGGTCGTGGGGTATGAACTCTGGGCCTGGGCGCTGTCCCTCAGCTCTTCAGCTCAAGGCGAGCGCTCTTCCACTTGAGCCACAATGCCACTTCCAGTTTTCTGAGTGGCTTATTGGAGATAAGAGTCTCCTGGACTTTCCTGCCCTGGCTGGCTTCGAACCTCAATCCTCAGATCTCAGCTTCCTGAGTAGCTAGGATTACAGGGGAGAGCAGTGGGCGCCAGGCCCCACCCCTTTTATTCTTATCTTAATCTGCTTGAAGGTTGACTAAACTCCACCCAACACTTCCTTGACTAACAGTCTCTGGGCCTCAGGAACCTGAGATCAGAAGGCTTTGCTACAGCGAAGGCTGCCTTCTGGTTAGACAGACGGTTAGACAGACGGTTAGACAGACATGCTGCGTGTCTTTCAAACAGGAGGATGAAGGAACACAGGTGAATTGCAACCACACTGACCTCTGGCCCCACAACCGCACCTGTAGACAGCCCACTGAGGTGCAGCCTCCCAGCTTGGAACGTTAAATCTGGCCATATACCCTCACCCCCAGCCCACCGTTCTCTGCTAGGAAGCAAGCCGGTGGGTGGTGGTTTGCTAGGCTGCAGCTTCTGCCCGGGCTTGTTTACTTCCATGCCAGAGGTCTATCTGCTTTGCACTCTCGCTCACCACTTTGCAAAGTTCTTTCCTTTTCCCCAGCTGGCTCATTTCAAGAGCCCCAAGGAGGCACTGTGCCCACCTGCAGATGAGAAAGGGGAGGGCCTGCCTAGGGTCACACAAAGAGACAGACTCCCCTGAGCCCCGGGGCCCAGCCCCAGGCCCGCCCTGGCTGGGCTCCTCGGCCCTGCATGCCTAGCTCTGTTGACTGATGGCCTGTAAACGGGTGTGGATCATCTCACAGGGCCACAACTGATAGTCCCACTGTATCCGCAGCCCGGAGGACGGGGCTGAGGTAGCCATACCAATCAAGCTAAGTTGTTCCCCAAGGTCAAATTCAGGTTTACAGCAGCCAAGTCAGTCCTCCTGCTGACATTGATCTGGAGCCACCTAAGCCCTACAGACCACCATCTCCTGGTGAGGAGGCCCTGGTGCGGCGCACAGCGGTGCCCCAGGATGAACGCGTGGACACAGGCAAGTCTGTGGACCAGAACATGGTGTGCAGCCCTTGCTCTCTAAGTGTTTCCTTGGATACACCTCCATTCAGCAGCTACACCTGCCCAGAGCAATCTCATCATCCATGGGTTCCACCGATGCCCATGTCCAGCTGAATTAGGAGTAAAAGGCTTTGGCTGGGGAAGGAAAAGCATTCATCTGCAAGGCTGGGAAGGCCCCACAAGCGTCTGGGAGGCCGGGTGCCCGGCCCTGAGGTCCCAGCCTCTGCCCACTGACTTGTCTCAGGCCTCATCCGGTATTCGGACTTCACCCCAAGTCATGTCTTCTGGTGCACAGGTCCCCTCTGCACCTGTGGGTGAGAAGTGGACGGGGATGCATCCCTTCCTGCATGAAGCACCTGCTCATACAGCCTGCTGGGGGTAGGGAACACAACCTGAAGGGCCTCCTATGGGTGAGAGTGAGATGGGTCAGCCAGGGAGCAGAACAGGATGGCATGTAGGTTGGGGTGTGGCCGACACAGCCCTGCCTGCCTGCTGGCCTGCAGCGGGGAGGAGGCAGGAAGCAGCGCTGGGAAAGGGGGCCCCAGGCAGCTGGCTTCAGAGCAGAATCCAGATGCCCAGGCTCTGGGCAGAGAGTCCTCTGAATGATTCAAGTGGTAGAGCCCCTGGGTTTAATTCCTAGTACTGACTCTCCCCCATTCCCAAAAAGCAACAATTAAAGACTCTGGAAGAAGTGGAGGGTTTTGAGAGACTGCTGGGTAGATGCTGCCCACTGGTCCCAGGTACCCCGGGGGCCTCTGCCACGTCACTGCAGTGTGAGGTCAGAGCACAAGCAGGAATTCCAGCCCTGTCAGGACCAAAGGGAGCAGACCCAGAACACAGACAGGAATTCCAGCCCTGTCAAGACCAAAGGGAGCAGACCCAGGCCTTGTAGATTTCAGGTCACAACCTGGGCTTTCCCAGGGCCTTTGACATCTAGAAAGTCACTGGCCTACACAGGAGCCTGTGGCTCATGCCTACAATCCTAGCTACTCAGGAGGCTGAGATCTGAGGATCATAGTTCAAAGCCAGCTTGGGCAGGAAAGTCTGTGAGACTTTTATCTCCAATTAATCACAGAACAAGCTGGAAGTGGTGCTGTGGCTCAAGCGGTAGAGTGCTAGCCTTGAGCAAAAGGAGCTCAGGGACAGCACCCAGGCTGAGTTCAAGCCCCAGGACTGGTGCTGGCACACACACACACACACACACACACACACACACACACAGTGTTAGAATGGAGAGGGGGTGTGCTGCCTCCACCCTGCCTTACAACCCACGCCATCCATCCTAGACCCAACCAGAAGCGCCCCAGGGCCCCTCGGTGCCCACACCAGCCTCTCCCCCTCCCCCAGTCTGCTTCCGCGGAGACTCCGGCTTTGTTTCACTTGGAGAAATGCCTGTGCTGTCACTTAGCTTCATTAGGTCGCAGATCCCACACACTGGTTAACCAGGCTGCACGCATGTACGAGCACGCACACATGTGCACATACACGCGCACACGCACATATGCACGCACACACATGCACGCCACGTGCACACACATGTATGCCCATGCACACTCATGCACGCATGAGCACACAGGCCGCACACCTGCAGGCCGGGCGCCCCCCTCCCCGCTCTCACCTCGCCCTCCCTGCCGCACCTCGACCCCTGCAGGCCGCCCGCCCCGGAGAGTCGCGGTTCCCGGTTTACCTTCTCCACCCCGCCCCCAGCGCTGCCACGGGGGCCTCCAGGCCCCGCCCAGCCCCGCACCCCTCCTCCTCCTCCTCCGCACGCCACCGCGGGTGGACCCGAACCTGCCGGGCTCCGCAGCCCTGGCTCCCCCCACCCCGCCCCGTGCCCTGGGTCACCGCTCCCTCCCCGTCCCGCCCTCCCTCCTCCGCGTCCCCCCTCCTGCCCGCCAGCTCGGGGAGGGAAGAGCCCCACGGGCCGCCCGCCGGGCTCCACGCACCGCCCGCCCGCAGCCCTCCCTCTGCCCTCCCTCCGTCCTCCCTCCATCCTCCTCCCGGCTCCACGCATCGCCCGCCCGCAACCCTCCCTCTGCCCGCCCTCCTACCTCCCTCCGGGCTCCACGCACCGCCCCCCCCACTGCCCTCCCTCCGTCCTCCCTCCGGGCTCCACGCACAGCCCCCCCACTGCCCTCCCTCCGCCTGCCCTCCGTGCGGGCAGGCCCGGCCGGCGCCCGCAGGTCTGTGGCCGTGGGCG